CTATTAATATGAAGTTCAGTGTTGGATGTTTTTAGTGTTCGGTTGGGTTTTTTCTGCAACAGTTAAAGAAACATAACTGTTCTTATAAACCGGTGGTTGGAGCATCAACGTTTGCAGGACTTTTTGGACAAATTTATAGTAACTATTGCGAAATTGGATCTTGACTGATGATCCTAGGGAGGCAGTAAGAGCATCTTGCCATTCATGTGCATTTCACATTTACTTCACATTAGAAGTGGAGAAAAGTGATGACCGATTGCAGGGGGAGAGACGTTTGTTCAGTGGGCAGCTAGCCCTATTGCAGAGTGGTGCTGTGCTATAGCCTCAGTTTTTAAACTGCTCCCAGAGGTGCTGCCGTGGCAAGCCGAAGCGTCTTGTTGGATGGGAAAGCGCTTGCAGGAAGGTGACTGTATTTAAAGCCCCACACAAATTAATTCATTTAAGTTTGAAACCTGGAAATCAATCTTTCTTGGACAGGAGGAATCTCATCCCAATAAATGCAAGGTGATATTGGGTCACAGCAAAGCTTTCAGGGGTAGCAGTGTTGTGCTCTGCCCCATTTGGGCTGTGAGCTGAGGACAAACTTGTCTCGTAAATTCAAGCTTATATCCACGCTGTGAATTGAATAAACCTGCTTGGTGGTCAGCTTAGTTCCATTCTGAGTTGGCTTGTATTGATGCAGACCTATAGCTTATGCTGACGTAAGATGATTTCGTAAGATCCATATTATACAGGAAAGAATGTCAAGTCAGAATGAGCGTAAAGCCAGTGATGTGCAGTCTTCCCCTTTCTTGGACTTAGTTGCTGTGCTGATCCTAAGCAGAAGAGCCTTAAAATAATGTGTCGCATTGGACTTTTCAAAAAGGGCAGTAAAGTTTAAAAGTAACTCGCTGGAGCTTCTGAGATAAAAGGCAGTAAATGTAATTTGAATCCTCCTCTCATGAGGTAGATATGTCATGCTTACTATCTGAGGGAAGAATACCAAGGCCATAGCAAAGTGTGGTTCAATGCCAGGTTGTCTAGCTTTTGCTTTTGAAGACTAAGATTAGCATTTTGGAGGTCCCAGTGGTTGTAACATTATATATGAGCCTTTAGCAGCAAGTTGAGTCTTGCTTATTATCCTGAAAAGCTTGAAAAATCTGTAACATGAGTGTTCCTATTTAAACACAGACAAGCAGAGACGTAAGAAATACAAATGTAAGGAGGAATTTCTCATTCTGTTGCATAGAAGACCTTTTATGTGGTGATGGGGGCAGAGGGAAGAAGATAACCCCAGGAGTCACCAACTGCTTCTGAAGCTGTGAGAATTCTCCCTTCCACATCTGAATGATGCTGCTTCATGCTGCATTTTGTCTGGTCTGAGCCCCCTGCAGGTTTATGCTCTGTGTGCTCAGATTTCACGGTATTAGAATAGTGCTTTTGTAGCATTGATCACCTTGGATCTTTGTGGATGCCATTTTTGATGGAATCAGAATAGTTTGAGTTGGAAGGTTTTGTCACAGCAGGAACAGTTTCATACATGTTGAAAAGGCATGAAAATGCTTCCTTTTACAGTAGTGTCTATGAAGACAAATGATGGCTATAGAAAGAGGCTTTTCCTGTAAAGGTGTTAAGGATTTGTTAAGGAATTCTGTCTTCAGATTGTTGAATGAGCTAATTTATCACTAAAGATTAATTACACTTAATTATATACATCCACTGAAAGGCTCCCAGTCTCTGTGCTCTTGCCTGTCTTGATTTTTCTGCATCTGTTTTATGCTACTCAGGTGGCACCATTACTCATCTCCTTAATGTCCTTCATCCATTCTTGCCTTCTGACTCCTCCACCTTAACCAGTCAGCTATGTTTCCATCCTCTTCTCCTCCACTATTCTTCTGTGATATATATTCACCACAGCAAAACTACTACTGTTTTTCCTCCCGTGGTTGAGTATAACTGGGGGGTGGGGAAAAAAAAAAAACCACCAACCAAAACAACCAAACCCACAACTAAAATGCAATGACCAGTGCTTTTAGCAACAAATATATGGTCCTGTGGTTTTAGTAAAGCTATTTGGACTTTCACAATTTGCCCCAAATCTTGGGTACTGATGCAGGAACTTTCTTGTCATATATGTGTGTTTAGTTCTTTGATGTTGCAGAAGGAATTAAATCACTTTTCAAGAAAGTGCAGTATCTCTTATTTGAATAACTACCCACATTGTAAATCTGTTGCACTGTAAAACTTGTGATTCTTGTTCATGTGGGTCAAAATCTCTGGGAAATGAGAATTTGCATATATTAAAATAAAATTTAAGTCAAATTGATAAAAAATGTGGTATTTAGGTGAACCAGAGTAAACTGTTGCATAGAGAGAACAAATTGTGTAGTCTTGGGATTTATATTTGATTGTCTTATTGTAACAGACTATAGATAATAGAAAACTGTCTACCAAATCAGTCACTCCACAGAAAGGTATGTCTAATTATTTTACTCTTGTAGTTTGCTGATGTCCTTGTTAGAGTTGTCTTCTCACATTATGAGAAACCAATATAAGTAGAATGTTTCTGCTTTTTGATTAAATGGAGGGATGGAGCCTTGCTTTTTCCTAAGCTGTAATTAAAGCTGGTTATTCCTGCATTCATGAAGGCAATAGATGAAAAATTGATTTAGAAGAAAATACTTTAAGACCTTGCTGACTCCAAAGAGCTAATTTTCTTTAGTGCAAGCAGCTTTAAGATGTTTTCAGGATATTTTAAAAGGTAGAGTCTTCTGTCTAAATGAAACTCTGCATGCATCTTTATCTTGTAACGATTTTAAAAGATGAATTTGGATTAACTTGATGTGGTCATCTGCATGCATGTTCAATAGTTACTTTTTGGGAAGATGTGTGACACTTAGTAGCTTCTGAAATTATTCTGAGTCATAATTTAAGAGTTCATCCTAAAAATGTTGCTTTTAATTAATTTATTAAAGTATTAACCTGGTGATGAGAGGGTGGTGAAACAGTCTTGTAAAACATCAATGACCACCCTTGTAAAATGAAGGTCTTTTTAAACAATGCATAAATGGAAAGTTACTTTTTAAAGAGACATCCTGAGAGAAACTTAGGTTTGAAAGTTGTTTCCTCCTTGTACTCCAGTTACCTATCTTCATTCAGCCTACATCAATCTGTAGATCTGGCATTTTAGTTTTAGAGTTACCGGTAACGTGTTTCTCTACGCACACCTGTAGACCTAATTTAGGTGATGATGTTTCAAGGATGTTGAGCATAGATCACTACGCTACAGGTTTGTGTGTTTTCATCAGCACATGGAGTTAAAATTCAGTAGGATGCATTCGTTTTACATGAGGGACTTTAGCACAGACAGGCTTTGGCAGCATTTATTGGCATAGATAAGATGATTTAAATCAGGCAGACAAGGGTCAGAGTTTCAAAGATCCACAGCCTTGTGCTTGTTTTGACTTCAGGGGGAGCTGGATAAATTCTTCTAAAATTATGGCCGTGAGGGCCTAGCTACACTGAAGCTGCGTGTAAATACAGGCAGTTATTCTTGAAACACAACACAGGTATCTACTAAATGTTGTACTTCTTGTCATGTGTACAAGAGCATCTTTGTAATGAAATGTAGTGGCTTAATCCAGGCAGAAGCATGATGCGTGTGGTGCTTCGTGTTTTTTCAAATACTTTCTTTTTGATCGGAAGGATGTGAGAGAAGAAGACTTGAGAGGTCTGTAGTCCAATACCACCAGTTCTACTTCTGTTCTTTTAAACCAAGGTGACTGCCCTGGTGTCTAAATTTTAGTCACATTGGTTGTAGTGAAAAGCATTCAGATCAGCTTACCTGGAATGGGGTATAGGCTTAAAATCACTTCTTTGTTTTAAAACAATCCTTCCCATGCCCTGCTTTCCCTCTAGCAATGTGAAAAAGGCTTAGAAGCACAAATGGAAAATAAAAACTAGCAGTTGAAGCTGCAAGGGGTAAAATGACAAGGATTATTAACCCTCATGCTTCACTTAATAAACTGATTGACAGCTAGGATTAAATGAATTTTCCTCCACTCCGCTTTAGTGTGTTGTGCCATTAGGTTCGTGCTGTTGATTGCATGTCTGAGACATCCATGCTGGGCCTTTCTCTGGAAAAAGAATGCGGAGTTAGCTGCGTTATTGATCGCTTCCAGCCTGCTAATCCTGACATTTGTAATGGAGTTTATACAAATGTGGAGAGGGGGAGAAAAGGACTGATGACTCTTTACTTAAATGGGATGAGTGCGCTGGGCCTCTGTGAGCCAGGTGGGGCATCTGCTAGGGCTGAGCCAGCAGCCAATGCTGAATTTTGCAGTTTAATAACGGCTAATCTTCTCTGTGCTCGGAGTTTATACGTACTTTTCCCCGGCGCCCTCAGTACGCGGGGTTAGCCGATGGTGGAACCTGCAGCTTCTCAAACTACAAAAAAAAAAAAGGAGGTCCCTGCTCTTTCTGCGGTTTTGGGAAAAGTGCAGGATGCGGGGAAAAGCTGTTGTTTGTGGAAGAAAAGCCGAGCTGGAAAAGCTTTCATCCACGTTCTGGAAGAATGCTTGGGGAAATATTCACTGAATACGGTGAATTAACTTGATCTCATTTATGGGATAGCAGAAATACTGCTGTTGGAAAGAAAACCTCTCCTAAAAGGACTTGCTGCTGTCCCTGTCTTTTCATGAGGTAATAAATCATACAACTGGGACATGTTCAAGAGAGCAAGGCTAGCTCAGTTTGGGTTTCAGTGAGGACACGGTATAGTTGTTTGTGGGTCTTTTCAGTTCCTTGTGGTACAAATAGAAAGGGATTTCTTTGGCTGCAATCAGGCAAACCTGTAGCAGGATCACCTACCCTTTATTGATAAACAGTGCTGTTCTGGCTTGTGGTAGTCATTTTCACACTCACCTGCTCGGTCTGCATGAAAAATACACAGTTTAAATCCCTGCAATATCTGACGTTCATGATTTCTCTTTCAGAGTTCGGATGGGTCCCTCTCTGGAGTTATGCAGAAGTGGAAGGAGTATCAGCTCCAGTGCCTGAAATACTTGTATGAGGCACCCCCCATCGCGGCAGGTAACCCTGCTTGGTAGGGAGAGGATGTATCAATTTTTAAAATGCGTGATAACAGTAGCAAAGGCGTGATTATGAACTTGAAAATACTCCTTCAGCTTACTTTCCAGTCCATTTCTTCTTTGTCCCATTTGCTTTTGCCTGCTCTCTGTGGGACTTTTCCCTCTGCTGAGGAAGCATTTTATAGAAGGATTTAATTGTAAAGATGTTAGTCTTTAGGTCCAGAGTGTGTTGCAGTGGCAAATGGTGCCTGTAGCACGTCGAAGCAGCACGCTAATGTAGTACCCCTGAAACATTTTTAGGAGTCAGGGTTGAGAGAGCATACAGGTGTTAGGGAATCTGGGACCAGCTGTTCACGTTCACCTAGCGGCTTGTGGGCCTTAAAGTTGGTATAAATTATTTTGAGCATTGTAATACGCTGAAATGGCTTTAAAAAAAAAAAAAGTGCCTTAGTGAAAATGAGAATGCAGCTTGTCTTAGCAGTTGAACTACTGTAATGTGCTGAGAGCAGCTGCGATGTGCCAGCATCATGGTGTTTAGAGGACACTGGTGACTTGTCAGTTACGCTGACAACTGGACACAGTGTGGCCTCTTCTACGCTTCAGGGCTTTTGTGACACACTGGGAAAGATAAGATGGATCTAAAGTTGTGTCGGTGAAGATTTATTTCAAAACTGTTAATTTTCCTTCTCTTAACTGCATTCTTATGGCAGCGTGAGAGCAGTAGCTGATGACAACAATGGCAGTGAAACATTCATCTCCCTCTGCTCCATTATCCTGTTGAGCGGTTGAGTGCTGCCCTCTAAGAATGACTGTTTAATAAATCTGAAGTTGAAGTATTCTCATGTTGATTAAGCTGTAATGCAAAGTTATGGTTGTGTGTGGGTATTTTGTTGATGGATCTATATATTAGGCTAGACTTTCCAACTTCATGGCTGTGAACCATTCTCAGGAATGATTATCTATGGTATTCATAGCAAAAATGATTTTAAATTAAAGTGAGACACATAGAGAAAAGATGGGAATGGATCGGTACTGATTTACCTTTCTTGTGCCTTAATGTAGTCAAAGACCCTAATCTATTCTTCAATTTCCCTCTGAAACAACAGTTTCTTGTTGGGTGGGGATAAACTCTTTTGGACAAATAAATCTCATTTAACCCCACATCAAAGCTTAATTCCATGATGCTGTTACGGCTTAAATGCACGTGTCCGTGTTTCCTTTTATCTTCTACTCTTCAGTCTTTTCCTCCTTGCAGTATTAATACAAGGCAGTGGCATGACCCTCCCTTATCTCTCTGCAGAAGGCAAGTTCTGCAACAGAACGTTTGACAACTACGCCTGCTGGCCAGACGGACTGCCCGGCACCTACGTGAATGTCAGCTGCCCCTGGTATCTCCCCTGGGCTAATGCAGGTAAGGGCCTTTCCTTATAGGCACAGCTTTAAACCAACCTTGTTTTCCTTGCACAGTCTTCGCAAGGATGAAACTGTCTTAAATGGCTACAAGTGCGGTTGGTTCTCTGCAACATAAAAATAGGAATGGGGCTCAGTGTGGTACACCCTTTATCTCTATTTCACAAGAGAAGATGAAAATGAGAGAAGAGACTGTTCTTAAGCGTTGCATTTAGTTTGGATTTTTTTTGTGCTGTCATCTGTTTTTGCTGCTTGAATAGTGGTGACTTAATAAAATAGTACTGTGGTGCTTGTTGAAGACTATCTAACAATAATAATGGTGTAGTTTGAAAACTGAGATAAAAGTAGCAAAGCTAGGTGGTAGGTCATCCTGTACTAGATAAAGACAAAGGTTTAAAGCGAAAGTGGTTTGTGCTGCTTCCTGAGATAAATTATTTCTCATCATGCTGCAAGATGAAGGCATTGTCAGTGGTTGCAAAGACTTGTTTTTTCTCTGAAGGACTGAATGTCACCTTTAGATTTTTACACTCTTATGTACATGGACGTTTGATACCACTTGAAGGCAATGTTGTATTAGATGACTTCATGTAGTATTCTGTCTTTGAAACCAGTGACTTATACAGCTTGTTCTTTGTGAAGACCTTTCTATGTTTTGAAGTCTAAATGAAACAGTTTATTAACTAGCTACCTTGGTGTGGTGAATTGGCTTTGGCCCCTGTTAAGGGACAGAAGGTACTGATTAATGGGGATGTATAGATCTGACTGCTGGACATAAATATAGTTTAAGTGTGCAGTAAATGTTGGTATGAAAGGATTTCAGGAATGAGAAAGAAAAGGGATGGGATGGTCAGAGGATACTTAGATGCATCAGATAATGCGGGACCTGGGCATGACGCAAATGGGATGGAATAAGGGGTGGAGATTGTACTGGGTCTGGCTGGGATGGAGGTAGCTTTCTTCACAGCAGCCTGTGTGGGGCTGTTCTTTGTACTTGTGGATAGAAGTGTTGATAATGCACCAGTGGTTTGGCTGTTGCTGAACACTGCTCCAACCCATGCCCTGTCCCAGGCCAGTAGGCTGGGGGCCTGCAGGAGATTGGAGTAATTGTTATGCGTGCTGAGGCCCTGCTTTCCAAGAAGCAGCTTGAACATCTGCCTGCTGATGGGAAGCAGTGAATAAATTCCATATTTTGCTTTGTTTTGCACCTGCAGCTTTTGCTTTCCTTATTAAATTGTCGTTATCTTGAAGTGTGTGTGGGGGGTACACGACAGGAAATCCTCACGCCAAATTCAAAATGTCATCACAACACCAACAAAACCGGACTATTTACATGCACAATAAAACTCCACCCCTCCTCCCTTCACCGCTTTACAACCACAAAAGATTCCCCACAATTATTTCCCTCTCTGGCAATATTCAGTCCTAGTTTTGCCCATTACCTTTCCCAGTTACTGTCTTCATCTCAACCAATGAGTTTTTCCAGCTTATTATCTCCCTCATCCTGTTGAGGAGGGAGTGGGGGGGAAGTGGCTGGGTGGGCATTTAGCAGCCA